GAGAGAGAGAGAGAGAGAGAGAGAGAGAGAGAGAGAGAGAGAGAGAGAGAGAGAGAGAGAGAGAGATTCCTACCTCCAGGGGGGTTGCTTTGGCATGAACAATGTCGAGGAGAAGAAGCAATGAGCTACTGCCACCTTCCAAACTAGTCTGATGTACCCTTTGTGCTGGCGGCCCTGGTTCCATGTGTGGGGTGCTGAAGGCCCTGGTCATCAGCTGGTCAACCTTTTGACTTCAGCAGGTTAGCGGACCTACCATTTGTTAACCACAGGTCAACAGCAGGTTACCTGCAGGTCATCAGCCGGTCAACCTTTTGACTTCAGCAGGCTAGCGGACCTACCATTTGTTAACCGCAGGTCATCAGCTGGTCAACCTTTTGACTTCAGCAGGCTAGCGGACCCACCATTTGTTAACCACAGGCCAACAGCAGGTTAACCGCAGGTCATCAGCTGGTCAACCTTTTGACTTCTGGTGTTCCTTGTGCTACTTACTAGATGCATTTACATACAACCTCGCCGTTTGAACTGGCACCATTAGTTAACGGCGGGTTAGCGGACCTGCCATTTCAGCAGCGGTTAACTGGTCTGGTTCCACCACTTGGCGGGGCGAGCTTGCTGGTCTCTTCTGTCCTTGCGGTGCAAGTGTTGGTTCCAAGTGTTGTGGCCCAGGGCAGAAAGAGCAGTTTAATGTTGACTCTGCGGGTAGGCAGTCTGTATTAGGAAAATAATATTGTATCATCGAATGCGGCGGGGTCTTCTTCAAGCATGGTTCCTGGCACTGCTGGCAGGTCCTTCGGTGTGTGGCGAGGATGGCCTCGGGTGGGCGCACGTGCGCATCTGGCTCCGCGACAAGCGGAGCGGTGTGCGGGGGGGTTGACATCGACTTGAGCAGTTCCAGCAGGGAGACAGATCAACAGCGTCAGCGGCAGAGGCGTGAGCGGGTTCTACTCCGTACGAGGTATAGATGGATTTGGCGTTTGGTTAACGCCACTTCTGAAGGGTGTCGCATGTGTTCAAGAATTATGCACGAGGTACGGAAGGATATCCTGTACATTGACCCCAGTTAGAGGGGTCTGGTCTCTTCCCTCCTCTGCTGTAAGGGCCTAATTGATTGCAATTTCCCCAGGCCCCCTTCTAAGGGGTGCAATACATTGAAGGGGGCCTGCGGGGGGGCCAGGAGAGGGCGGGAGGTTTTGTGCTTGTGGCTGACCGAGAGTGACCACTGACACAAGGTTTCATTTGGAAAAGGAGTCGATAGAAGGGCGCAGGGGGGAATGGGGAGGGAGAGGGGGA